GGTGTTCTGAGACTGAGGCAATTGGACTCTAAAGAGGACACCCATCTGGTCAAGCAATACGGCGTATTTTCCCCTTCTAAGGCAACACCACTTCACCTAGTCCAGAGTTACAAGTAGTGCAGGTAAGAGAAAATGAAAACTTGTACTACAGCACCACCTACTGGCTATGCTAAGTGAAATAAGCCAGCCAGAGAAAGACAAATGCCATATGATTTCACTTATAAGCTGAAACTAATCAACAAAATAAACAAAACAGATTCATATACAGAGAACAACTGACAGATGTTAGAAGGGCAGGGCGGGGAATTAGGGGGCTGGGGGCAAAAGGTGAATGGATTAAGAAAAATTTTTTTTAAAAAAAGAACTGAGGTACAGACAACAGTATAGTGATTACCCAAGACAAAGAAGAGTGTGGGGCAGGGGCAGGTAGAAGGTAAAGTGGGATAAATGATGATAGAAGATTTAATTTTGAGTGGTAAATATAATACACAGGCGATATATTATAGAACTGCACACTTGAAACATAATTTTACCTCAATAAATTCAATAAAAAATTTAAAAACCTCTATTTACCAACTTGCTAAAAAGTTAAAATAAACAAATAAAATAAAAATAAACAAGTACTTAAAAATAGATTTAATTCAATTAAAATCCCAAGCAGAGAAATAACCCACCTATCATGAATAGCCAACGTAACAAGGTAGTTCAGAAAGATAATAAAAATAAACCTAAAGACATAGAACACCACGACTTAAATGACAGAGAACTTAAGACTGCAGTTCTGGAAAAACTCAATGAGATATAAGAAAACTCAGAAAGTTGGTTCAGAGAGCTCAGGCATTAAATCAATGAACAAAAGAAGTAAGTACTTCATTAAAAATTTGAAAAGAACCAAATTGAAAATCTGGAGGTGAAGAACTCAATAAATGACATGAAAAATAAATTACAGAGCTTAGGAAATAGAGCAGACCAGAAGGAGGAAAGAATTAGTAATATTGATGATATCTAGAAATGACTCAGATATAAGAGAGAGAATTGAGAGTAAAAAAAAATAAAATAAAATAAAATAAAACTTCTACAAGAATGATCTGATTCTATTAGAAAGAACAATTTAAAAATACTGGGTATACCAGTAGGAAAAAAGAGGAATAAAGGAACAGAGTGACTATTCAAAACTCAATGAGAACTTCCCAAACATATAGAAAGAGATAGTCTGGACCCTTGAATCCAAGAAGCCAACAGGATACCTAATGATCTCAATGCAAAAAGACATTCTACCAGGCACATTATATTAAAATTGTCAAAAACTGCCGAAACCAGTTTAGCTCAGTGGATAGAGTGTCGGCCTGCGGACTGAAAGGTTTGATTCCGGTCAATGGTATGTACCTTGGTTGCGGGCACATCCCCAGTGGGGGCTGTGCAGGAGGCAGCTGATCGATGTTTCTCTCTCATCGATATTTCTAGCTCTCTATCCCTTTCCCTTCCTCTCTGTAAAAAAAATCAATAAAATATATATTTTTAAAAATAAAAAATACAATAAAATTGTCAAAAATTAGTAACAAAGAGTTCTCAAGTCAGCCAGGGAAAAGAAGTAATCAGAAAGGAAACCCCATTATATTATACTTGAATTTTTTCAGCAGAAACCATGCAAGCCAGGAAAGAGTGGAATCAAATATTCAAAATATTGAAAGAGAGAAATCCCCAGCTCAGAATAATATATGCAGCAAAGTTATCTTTTAGATATGAAGGAGAAACAAAGGCTTTTCCAGATATACTTAGCTGAGGGAGTTTACTGACAGTAGTTCTACACTACAAAAAATGCTGCATGTAGTTCTACCTAAATAAAAAGACAAAATGATATAAAACGGTAAGATGACAAAGATAACAGAGACAGAAGCAGGAAACTGTAACATCTATTGTTCAGAATAGGGTATTAAACTCAAATATAATAAAGAGATTAAAGGGGTAAAAATAATTTTAAAAGACAATAGGCCCTCAGTGTGGCTCAGTGGGTGAATGTCAACCCAAGAACCAGGAAGTCACAGTTGAGTCCTGAGTCCTGGGCAGGGCAATGCCTGGGTTAAGGGCTTTATCACCAGGAAATTTGGGAATGAATAGACAACATGAAAAGGGATAATTTGTGACAACAAAAACATTTAAAAGGGGAGAGAAAGAACTAAATGTGCATAGATAAGTGGAGATAAGATACAATTAGAAGAAAAAAAGACTACTGTATCTCTGAACCTTTTTTGTGTAAACATAATGTTAATCACAAAACAAAAATCTAGAATGAGACCCATAACACAAAGAAGAAATGCAGTGGATAGGGCGTCAGCCTGCTGAGGGTCTCGGGTTCGATTCCGGTCAAGGGCATATACCTTGGTTGCGGGCACATCTCCGGTGGGGGGGTGCAGGAGGCAGCTAATCAATGATTCTCTCTCATCGATGTTTCTAACTCTCTATTCCTCTCTGTAAAAAATCAAGAAAATATATTTTTTTAAAAAAGAAAAAGAAATGAAGCCTGGCCAGTGTTGCCAGTGGTTGGAGTGTAGGCCAGAGCATCGAAGGGTCTCAGCTCCAATCAATTCATCTCTCTCACATCAATGTTTCTCCCTTCCACCTTCTCTCTCTCTCTCTCTCTCTCTCTAAAAAAGAAGAAAAAGTAAAAAATATTCTTAGGTGGGGATTAAAAACAACAACAACAAAAAGAGAAGATAGGGAAAAATCACAGAATACCACCAAACTAAAATCAGCAGAGAAGAGCTCCCCTCCCCCAGGCTTCCATTCACATCGGGCAACTCTCAGCCTGATATTGTTCAATGTTTTGACCCAAATGAACTCCCAAAATCATAAACCCTCTGTCCACAGACTATGTGCAAAAATTATACCTTGGTGCACTTATACTGTGGCTGCAAAACTAAAAGAGGATCTAAAAATGTCTAGACTTAAGAGACCACAGCCTCAGAGCCTCATGCCCCCTCTCCCTCCTTGTGCTCCTGCACCCCCAGCGCTCCAGGGCTGTATCCTCTCAGTGTAAAGGCTCCTTCCCTGCCCTGTGCGAGGAGGCAGGACACCTGCAGGGGAGGCCCCCCAGGAAGAACAAATGGGGGGGGGGCCTTGTGCAGACTCAAGGGGGCCTTAGAGTGTGCGACAGGCCACAAGTCTCTGCTCCCCTCTGGAGACCTCCACTGAAGGTACTACCCCTGATAGTTAAATTACATCAATGTTTGAACAATACAGCAAAATCACTCAAATTTAGTAATAACGTGGAAAGGGGAAAGAAGACTGTAACCCACTTTTTATCAGTTAAACCAGAAAAGCCCAAGTATCTGTTCCATTCAAAAAAAAAAAAAAAAAAAAAAAGCTGTCTGTTGATTATGATTTCCATGGCAACACATTGTTTTGAAGTAATTAATCACACTTGAACACCTCTGCTCTGCAAGTCCAAGCTCTGGAATTTCACTTGAAAACATGCAAAAGTAAAGAGACCTCGGGACTCACTACACCTGCTGAAGGGAAGAAAAATAGTGAAATCAGAATTCTTTACAAATTGATTGGGAATACTGGAACTTTTTTCTGAAAGTCTCCACTCGCTTGCCTCTTTAGACCTATTTTCACACTGCCATTCTTGCACTATTGACGAAATACATGCTATCCCCACTGAAAAACAAAGACAAATAAATCAATAAATCTCATTAGGGTGACAAATCCAGAAAAGATTTCAAAAAGGAACCCCCAGCTCTCACCGGTTTGGCTGGGGGGCCAGAGCTTCCGCCCGGGGACTGCAGGGTCGCCGGGCACGACCCCCCAGCCCCAGGTGGGGCAGGTGCGGGAGGCAGCCCATCCATGAGTCCCTCTCAGGTGCACGTTTCTCCCAGTCGTTCCCCCTCCCTTCCGCTCTCTCTAAAAATCAATGGAGAAGATAGCCTCACCAGAGGATTAACAACAACAAAAGAACCTCCATCCAAAGGATTCCCAGAAGATGCCTGAGCCCAGCCAAGCTCCTGGGGGAGAGGAACGGGAATTTCATACAACGTGTTCCTGGTGGTTATTCTCAGATTTCCTCTCACGTAAAAATATACAGACCACCACCACCAACAAAACATATCCTCATGACTATGTGAAAAACGGATAAAAAAAAAAAAAGTAAAATACTGCCCTAACCGGTGTGGCTCAGTGGATAGAGCGTCGGCCTGCGGACTGAAGGGTCCCAGGTTCCATTCCGGTCAAGGGCATGTACCTTGGTTGCGGGCACATCCCCTAAGGAGGTGTGCAAGAGGCAGCTGACCGATGTTTCTCTCTCATCGATGTTTCCAACTCTCTATAAGAAAATCAATTAAAAAATATATTTCTTAAAAAAGTAAAATACTGGGGCTGTCTCAGATGCACCACCGATGACAAACGGCGGATGACGACGTAGTGAATCGGTGAGGGGAACCGCATTTGGGAACGAGGGAAGGGACCTGGAAATCCAGGGATTTTTATTTTTATTTATTTTATTTTTTTGCCAGCCCCAGGAAGAGCTTGGCTGGGGGACCGGGACGTGGATTTGACACCCTGCTCCCCCAACATTTGGAAAACTCATGAAAAAAACAAAAACCACCAAGGCCGATGGGGAGAGATGAGAGCTCCTCCCCCAGACAAACTCGGGAGCGGGAGTCAGGACGGTCTCCCCGCGACCCTCCCCGCGGCCGCACCGTCTGCGGAGACGCCGGGCGGGCAGCGGGCGCCGAGCTGCCAACCGAGGTTCCAGGCCCGACGGGCCCCGCGGAGACCGGACAGACAGGACGCCCGCGGCCCGGCGGCGGTCCAGCCCCCGCGCCGCGGGCCGGAGGAGCCGGGTGCGGGCGGCGGGCCGGGTGCGGGCCGTGGGCCGGGGCATCAGGGCGGCGGACCCGGACCGGATCCCGGGGAGGTTGGCTGGCCTGCCGGCCAGGCAGGTTCCGGCGGTTCCGACTACCAGCACCATTTCTCCCCCTCCGTGCCCGGCCCGCACTCACCATTTCTAGGCTTCCTGGTTCTCCCCGAGTCCGGCCCGCGAATCTCAGGAGCGGCACAGACCACGGCGCGGCACCGCCGCGGCCAAGCCCCCGGGACGGTGTGAGGCGGCGGCGGAGCGACCCAGCGCGTTGCCACGGGAGAGACGACCTCCACGCCGGAGCCGGCCGGAGCCCCGCCCATCCGCTCCAGGGAGGCCTCTGATTGGCCGGTTTTGAAGACCACGCCCCAGCGTGCCTGAGTGACAACCGTCGGGCTGACCCGGCGTTCTGCAGACCTTAGCTTCGGTCTGAGACTGGAGATCTACGCCCGCCCCTACCCCCACCCTCACCCTCACCCTACCCCCCTAACATTTGCTTTTAAAGTTTAAAAGCCGAACTTTTTTTTTCCTGACCCGGGGCTGCACTCCTTTGTCTTTTCCACTGCTTCATGGGGAGGCGTGGTCAGAGGTGTGCACGGAGAAGTCGTGATTCAGTTTCAAGATGGAGCAAGTCCAGACAGGAGAGTAGGCCAAGCCAGGCCGCCCTAGCGCAAAGATGGTTTGATGTCTCGTAGGGGGTCCACGATTTGGCTGAAGGCTGGGACTTCGCTCATGGAACGGTGACCCTTGTTTAGAAACACAGACAGTCTGGCCGTCTGTAAGAGTCTGGCTCCATTTGGGTCTTTGGTTCTTGCAAGCCTTGAACCTTCCACCTGTCCCTTTCTCACCGCCTCTCATTTGGTCCTTAAGAGAGCGACCCCAGACCACTGGGCGCTGATGGGAAATTTGAACCCCGCTGGACACAAGGACTCATCTCAATCTAACCACAAGGTGTGAGATGTGCTCATTGCATTTCTCAGGTGTATGTTTTGACACCAAAGGGAATTTATTTTAGGTCAGTTTCTCTATGTGACCCTAGAAAACTTCAGCATGTCAACGGATTTCATATCCTGAAGGTTTAATGACTGATATAATAAGCAAAACTTTTATAAATTGTCATCTAACTTTGGGATGAGCTTGAAAACATCTTTCTCGGGTTACAAAGATTACAATAAGATGATTTGATTTACATATACTGCATTGTACAGTTGAGCTCTCACTCTCAGTCTTCCCATCTTCCTTCTCCAATCCCCACCCCTGAGCAATCACTAATCTAAGAGTTACTATTGGGGTCTTTCATATGCGTGGTATTATATAATATATGGTCTTCATGACTGACTGCACTCACTTAGGCTCATTTTTTTCAGGGCACATTCCTATTGCCGCATGTATCAATACTTCATTTGTTTTTATGGTTGAAGAATATTCCATTACGTCCACTGAAAATCAGTATTGACCAGGTGTTTCTGTTATCGGCACCCTGGGTTCTTGTGATCTCCCAGGACAGTGGTCAAAAGAGATCACTAAAAGCAATATAGAGTTTTGGCTGGAAATTAAAACAGGGGCTCTTGTATGTCAGGTGAGAATTCTACCACTAAGCCATCCTGGCTTCTTTTAAATTTTTTATCCTCACGCGAGGATTCTTTCCTTCCTCCCTCCTCCCTCCCTCCTCCCTCCCTCCCTCCCTCCCTTCCTCCCTCCTTTCCTTCCTTCCTTTCTTCCTTCCTTCCTTCCTTCCTTCCTTCCTTCCTTCCTTCCTTCCTTCCTTCCTTCCTTCCTTCCCTCCTTCCAATACATTTTTTATTGATATCAGAGAGGGAGAGAGAGAGATGGAAAACATCAATGAGAGAGAATTATTCACCGGCTGCCTTCTGCACACCCCCTATTGGGGATTGAGCCTGAAACCCGGGCATGTGGCCTTGACCGAATCAAACATGGGACCCTTCAGGCTGCAGGCTAGCGCTCTATCCACTGAGTTAAACCGGCTAGGGTGAGAATACTTTCCCGTTGATTTTCAGAGAGAGTGGAAAAGACAGAAACATGGATCTGGACTGGGGAGGAGCCTACACCTGAGGTACATGCTCTTGACCAGAATTGAACCTGGGACCCTTTGGTCCTCAGGCAGACACTCTATCCACTGAGCCAAACCGGTTAGGGCCCATCCTCCGTGCCCCTGCCTGGCCCCTCCCACCACAGCCCCCGGTCCCCTGTCTGCCTGCAGCCCAGTTCCCTCCGCCACTGCTGCCCCATCAACCCCCCCTCAGGAGCTGGGGGAGGTGGAGAAGCCCTCAAGGGCAATCAGGGCCAGCAGCTGCCACTCCTACCCCCTGACAGCGCTGAGCGATTGGGTCCGGCGCTGGGCACTAGCAGCGGGTGCGAGCGGGGGCCGGCAGCAGGTGCGAGTGCCAGGCAGGACTGCGGCGCATGGAGTAAAGAATTTTCAGTAACCACCAGAGGCTCGCCCGGATGACAGCAACCAGCGCCCCGCCTCGGTCTGGCATGCCCGCTCACCTGCCCCACCATCCCGCCATGACCAACACCTGCCATATTCCGCGCATGTCCCATGGTGGTCAGCACACATCATAGAGACTGGTTGTTAGGTTGTTCCGCCATTCGGTCTATTTGCATATTAGCGACACACATATATATGAAAAAATGGGCAAAGAAGCAAAACATATTTAACAGAAAATAAAAGATCACGTATGAAAAAAATGTCCATCACCTTGGCAATGAGATCTTAGTTATAAGGAATATATATATTCCCTATGCTGTACTTCACATGCCTGTGACTGTTTTGTAAGTACCAATTTGCACATCTTAATCCCCATCTCTTTCACCCAGCCCCCAACCCCCTCCCTTCAGGTAACCACCAGTCTGCTCTCTGGGTCTGAATCTGCTTAAACTTTGTCTGTTTATTTTGTATTTATTTGTTTATTTATTACATACATTTTATTGATTTCAGAGAAAAAGGGAGAGATAGAAACATCAATGATGAGAACCATTGATGGGCTGCTTCCTGCACACCCCGCTCCTGGGAATCTAGCTTATACCCAGGGCACATGCCCTGACTGGGAATGGAACCATGGACCTCTTGGTCCATGGGACCATGCTCAATCTACTGAGACACTCCACTGGGCTATTTTGTACTTTAGATTCCACATAAAAGTGAAACAAAATGGTATTTGTCTTTCACAGTCTGGCTTGTCTCACTTCCATAATACCCTCTAGAGCACATGTGTCAAACACAAGGCCTGTGGGCCAAATCCGTCCCGCCAGGCCTTGTAATGTGGCCCGCACCGCGCTGTCATCACTGCACTCCGCTGCGTTTCCATCACAATGACAGTTTATGACTATTCAGTAAACCATTTGGCCCACGACTTAGGCTGGATTTTAGATTTTGGCCCCTTCTCTGATTGAGTTCGACACCCCTACTCTAGCGTCTAGATCCATTCATGCTGTCAAAAATGGTAAGATTTCATTTTTTTTTTATTATGGCTGAGTAATATTCCACTGTATATATGATTCTGGACACTATACCACTCCAAGGTTGCCTGTCACTCTCTGAGCCCAAATAAGCAAACAGGGTTGAATAATATATGAACACTTATTCCAATAATGCTGGCAGTATGGGGAGAGCAGCGGTCATCCTGGAAATTCAATACTAGAGGCCTGATGCGCAAAATTCGGGATCAGACTTAAACTGGCAGTTGGACATTCCTCTCACAATCTGGGACTGCTGGCTCCCAAGCACTCACCTGCCTGCCAGCCTGATCACCCCCTAACTATTCCCCTGTAAGCCTGATTGATGTCTGACTGCTCCCCTGCCAGCCCCAATTGTCCCCAACTGCCCTCCACTGTAGGCCTACACCCCCCAACTGCCCTCCCCTGCCAGCCTGGTTGCTCCTAACTGCCCTCCCCTGCTGGCCTCATCACCCAAAACTACCCTACCCTGCCGCCATCTTTGACTACATGGGGGCAGCCATCTTGTGTGAGGATGTGGGGGTCAATTTGCATATTACCTCTTTATTATATAGGATTATTGATTATATTCCTTATGCTGTAATTTATATCCCCATGCTATTCTGTAACTACCAGTTTATACTAAAAAAAAAAGAAACATTTCTTTTTAAAAAATATTTTATTGATTTTTAAAAATATATATTTTATTGATTTTTCACAGAGTGGAAGAGAGAGGAATAGAGAGTTAGAAACATCGATGAGAGAGAATCATCGATCAGCTGCCTCTTACACACCCCCTACTGGGGATGTGCCCACAACCAAGGTACATGCTCTTGCCTGGAATCGAACCCGGGACCTTTCAGTCCACAGGCCAACGCTCTATCCACTGAGCCAAACCGGTCCCAGCTTTATTGATTTCTTACAGAGAAGAAGGAAGAGGTATAGAGAGTTAGAAACATCAATGAGAGAGAAACATCAATCAGTTGCCTCCTGCACACCTCCTACTGGGTATATTCCTGCAACCAAGGTACATGCCCTTGACCAGAATCGAACCTGGGACCTCTCAGTCCACAGGCCAACACTATCCATTGAGCCAAACTGGTCAGGGCCAATTTGTACTTTTTTTTTTTTTTAAATATATTTTATTGATTTTTTACAGAGAGGAAGAGAGAGGGATAGAGAGCTAGAAACATCAATGAGAGAGAATCATCAATCAGCTGCCTCTTGCATACCCCCTACCGGGGATGTGCCCGCAACCAGGGTACATGCCCTTGCCCGGAATTGTACCCAGGACCCTTCAGTCCTCAGGCCGACGCTCTATCCACTGAGCCAAACCGGTCCTGGCCATTTTGTTCTTCTTAATTCCATCATCTTTTCCACTGAGATCCCCAAATCCCCTCCCTCTGTTTACAATCAATCTGTTCTCTATATCTGGAATCTGCTTCAATATTGTTTGTTTCTTTTGTTCTTTAGATTTCACATAGAAGTAAAATCATATAATATTTTTCTTTCTTTGATTGACTTACTTCATTTAGCAAATTACCCTGCAGGTACCTCCATTTTTTAGAGCAAATGGTATCAATTCATTCCTTTTTATGGCTGAGGAGGATATTCTTGATTTGCAGAGCAAAGAATAAAGAAAATAGTCTGGAAGCAAGTGTTCACAGAGGCCCTATGCATATGTCTGTGTTAGCTATACAGGTGCATCCAAAACCTGCCTAATCCTATTTTACTTCTGTGTTCCAAGTTGCATCTTCAATGAATTCTAACATGGAATAAGGAAGGCAACATTTGTATTTCACGTTACT